TATATATATATATATATATATATATATATATATATATATATATATATATATATATATATATATATATATATATATATATATATATATATAAAGCGGAAGACCAAGATGCAACCTATGCTTGCAAGAGAAGCTGCTGATTTTAAAATCTCGCGACAAAAATCTACTCAACAAAAGATCGGAAATCTTCTCGAAGTGCGTGCACCAGAAACAATTTTTAGCGGGAAATGTAGTCTGCGCGCGTGTAAGCAACATCAACAATCCTCGCGCGCGCGCGCAGTCACGCCATCAAACAACGAAAATCAAACGGTATTTGAGAACAATGTCTCCTGATGATCGCAGTGATGCGTGAAACTCGGAGTAGAGACAAAAAAACATTTTAAGTAAGAATAGTAATTATATATATATATATATATATATATATATATATATATATATATATATATATATATATATATATATATATATATATATATATATATATATATATATATATATATATAGCTTAAGTTTTTGGTTTACGAAACACAAACAGTGCTCAATACCATATAGATAGAGCGTAATATAGTTTTTCGTTTTACCTCAAAAAACTACAACAGTCTGTTTCATCCGTATAGGAATCATCAGGTGGTGATATACTCAAATAAGTTTTATTGTGTTCAGAAAGGGCTAACTTAGATTTTGATATATAACATTTGAATGTCCGTGCAACATCAGAGGAGGTTGGACAGCTAATTAGGCGAATCTGGGCGAATCTCTCGACCAATCAGATTGCGCCATTTTCCTCATGCTCGCATGAAGCTTTTGGCATCGAAAATTTACATAGGGCTCATAAATATCGACTTTTTGTATCTGCGAAGCAGATATATTGCTGTTGCAAACGTACCGTACCGTGTGTTAACACATAGTCATTCAGCGACGAGCTTATATAATTGAGCCAATTCATGATAATTTAAGCCAATCAACGATTAGTTTACATCGATTGTTTACATCGTGCCCGCATCTAACATGCGAACGGGCATCGTTTGGCCTCGCGATTCGTGATTATTCTTTGCCATTTTCACATTTTGGCTTCGAAAACATCTTGATTTGGCTGTCTTGTATTCGCCATTCTACTTGCGATATTATTCTGGAGTTATCTATCAACATGGGAACTTAATATCCTCATCTGGTAAGTAGTCAAATACCACATATTTTATTATCTACCGCTATATACAGTATTACTAAAAACATTCATTGTGTGTATTTGTGTCAAAACATAGCGTATAATTTGTCAAGAAATTCGTCCTAAAACGTAAAGTAAAAGATACTGCAACTTAGTTTTTGTCTATTTTGGGGTGTTATGCCTATGGTCTAAGCATGGACATCACAATTTACTGTTTTATTGTGTTTAGACTTTAGTACTGTGGAAAAGTGTCTTATAAATTTACAAAATGCCAAAAGAAACAGCTACGTCTGCACACTAATGCCGTAATCAAGATTGTGTACACTGTACAGTAAAAGGATTCACCTCACCAGATCTTTGTCGATTGCCGCTACCAAAACTGTAGACTGTAGTTTTATTAAAGCCGAGCATTCAACTCAAGTTTCTTCAAAAAATAACTCTAGAAAAAGTACTTGTATTGCCAAAAAACTCGCCGTACCACTACCTGTGTCACAAAGTTTCCACTTGCCATTTGTTGAACATGCAGTCACAAGTTCTTGCACATCTACTGTTTGCAGCGCAGTGTATTACCTAGTAGTAAAAACACTGTTTTTGAAAGCTGTAAAACAACTTCGCTGCTTCTTTTTCTGTTTTCGTGTTCTGTTTTATAGAATAAACACGCATGCGTTGAAAATGCTTTTCAACTCCAAAATAATTCGAAGT